CGTCGCCTGTTGCGAATGTGGTGTCCATTTCGCAAACGACCGAGTGAGGTGGATTGTGGGGTCCCTTCCCGCGTGCAAACACCTATAGATCCGAAAAATTTGCAAGAACTACCTACGAAAGGAATGTTGCTGAAATCTGTTACCTTTACGGCGCTTTGGGGAGTTATGAAGAATTCAGGAGGGAAAGTGTAGGATACTTGTTTCAGCGTGGAACTGGTGCTGCAAAGGGTCCACCCACCAATGTCCTGGTCAATGTCCATGGAAGTGTTCTCGATAGTGACGTACGATCCGTCATTTGCTACTTTCTGTAACTCATGGAATGTAGATGCAGTTAATTAAGAACCGTTTTGTATACTAAATTTTCTGTTGAGTTTAGAAGAAAACCCACCCCGATCGTGACGTTTCCTTGAGCAGAGCGTTGCATGGTGTACTCATGATGATCCGGTCCAGACCTCGCAACCGAACTTCGTTCATCCTTCATTGTGTAGTCCACCGTACTAGTGACAGTTATAGGCTTGCGTTCTGTCCAGGAGTAGTGTATCGTTCCTTGCGGAGCAGGTAACGGTACCGCAGCGCTAGCACCGCTTCCAATCTGTGAGTGACCACTCGTCACTGCACCACCTCCTGAGCTGAGCGTATAACCTCCGCCTGGAACGTACGTTGAGGTGACTCCACCGGCGAAATCTGAAGCTCCGCTTCCAATCTGGGATGTTCTCGTCGTGATTGTGTCTCTGTAGGATGTAGTTGGGCCGCCCTCGAGTTCGCTCGAATCTTTACCACCGATGACGCCTCCACTTCCACCAGCAGCGAAGCCGCCTCCACTTCCACCAGCAGCGAAGCCGCCTCCACTTCCACCAGCACCGAAGCCGCCTCCACTTCCACCAGCACCGAAGCCGCCACCACTTCCACCACCACCCGAGATGCTTCCACCTCCACCAGCAGTGGGGCTGCCTCCACCATGGGGGCCGCCTCCACCCTTCCCCACACCATCAAGGAGTTCTCGGTATCGCCTGATCTCAGCGCGTA